GGCTTTATGAGGATGATACTCCAATAATTCCTCCTCTTTGCCAAAGGTCCTTCCTTGATTTCCTATTTGATCAAATTCCAAAATCATCAATTCTTAAACCATTGACACGGTTTAACCTATAATCATACTCAATAACTCTATCGATATACCGAAACCAACATCTTTATAGCTTTTAATTCCATGTAAATCAAGCATTCAACATTCATAAAAGGTTTACTCATTCAATTCAACTATCATACATATCATATTTACCTTCACTTGTCTTAACCCATTAAGACCCTTTTTCTTATTAACACAAATTTCACATAAATCATCATGTTTACAATCTATCATTCCTATAATACTCATAATCACTAGAACCAATCATAATTAAACTATATAATATCAATTCCAACCCAATACCATTAATTAAGCTCATTCCCTTACTATAGGGTGTAACATCCAAAAAATTTGGACCAATTAAAGCTTTCCTAAACAATCCATTTATCAATAAAAGTGTATACAAAGACATCGTTTCAAAAAAACATTATTTAAAATCGGTGTCTCCCAAGATCTATAACATAAAATCAGGATGTGTACGGTTACGCCTTTGCCTTGCCACGATTCTCTGAAGTACCTGAAACCATAAACCAAAAATGTAAGTACAATGCTTAGTGAGTTTCCCCCAAAGTACCAAAACATAAACAGATAACATATACAAAATAACAGCATGCTTAAATACTTATGCCTGGCCCAATCAGCCTCGGGTTGGGTTACCAGGCATGTCTACAATGGGCCCAGTCATCTCCGAGATGGAATACCCTCGTACCATAAGCGGTTTGGTCCAATCAACCATCGGGTTGGAATACCAAACACGTCGGGTCCAATCAACCATCAGGTTGGAATACCCAAGGCTTATTGACTGATGCACAAAGCAGTCCAGTCTCACCATATATCATATAATCATATCGGGTCCAATCAACCATCAGGTTGGAATGCCAATATAAAACGGGTCCAGTCATCCTCAGGATGGAATACCCTTGGTCTGTTGGCTCACGCACATAGTAGTAAAACCTCAACCATCAATCAACATATAACTAGTCAACAGACAATCGAGCATATCTACAGATCACTAAGCATAACATCATCCTATATACCGGGATACCGATCTAACAGATCACTACAGTATAATAACATGCATAACAGGATATCGAATCCAAAGGTTCGGCCTTGGTGCCTTCGACCCGTAAGTACAGTGAGGAAAACTCACCTCGCACTGCCGAATCATACAGACGATCCCTGGCTGCTGGCTGACAGATCCCCGAACTGTCAATATCAAGACATCACCCTATCAACAGCTGATCCCAAGAATAATCTCTGACCGCAGATCCGCTAAAATCCACGCGCTATCAAATACTACAATGACAACCCATCAATATTTAGCCTCTAACTCACACTATGAGTCCAAATTAGGGTAAAAGACCTTTTCACTCTTCCTCAAGCTTGGTCCAAAGCCAAGGCCCAAACTAGATGACCAAAGGCCCAAAATCCAAAATAAACATCTAAGGCCCAAATATGGCCCAATTTTCCAAATTGGGGTCGAACCCTTACATGGGCCTTACCCTAAAGCCCATTAACTTTTCCCCAATCCAAACACTTGATTACGGATGGCCCAACAAAAGCCCCAAACAATCCAAACCCAAAAGATAGCCTAAACTGAAGCCCAAACACACCAAGCGCAATTAGACCGAGTACGAACTGTCAATATCAAGACATCACCCCATCAACAGCTGATCCCAAGAATAATCTCTGACCGCAGATCCGCTAAAATCCACGCGCTATCAAATACTACAATGACAACCGATCAATATCTAGCCTCTAACTCACCCTATGAGTCCAAATTAGGGTAATAGACCTTTTCACCCTTCCTCAAGCTTGGTCCAAAGCCAAGGCCCAAACTAGATGACTAAAGGCCCAAAATCCAAAATAAACATCTAAGGCCCAAATATGGCCCAATTTTCCAAATTGGGGTCGAACCCTTACATGGGCCTTACCCTAAAGCCCATTAACTTTTCCCCAATCCAAACACTTGATTACAGATGGCCCAACAAAAGCCTCAAGCAATCCAAACCCAAAAGATAGCCTAAACTGAAGCCCAAACACACCAAGCATAATTAGACAGAGTACGTGGGGCGTACTGGCACGTACGCGCAACGTACTCGCTTGAAGTCTTGTACGTTAAGGTTACCTGCTTGTACGCCCAGCATACTCACTCTTATTCATCCCAAACTCGATTTTCACTTAATCCATTAAGACAAGGCTTCCAAAACACAGATCTGACCTCCTTGAGCTGGATTATGACGTAAAGTTGCCAACTTTACGTTCACACATGGCTAAAAGAAGATCTTAAGCTTAAAAGGGACTTAATGATTGACTTAATGCATGCATGACTCCATAAAATACATAAAGCTTGCACATTTATGCTCAAGGATACCAAAACAAACTCAGATCTGGAAGGATGAACCCTTAAACAACCCAACTAATCCATATACCCAAAAAGGAGACCAAAATCACAATAAACTAGCCATGAATAGATCTAATCATACACAAGCCAAGATGAAAACTTGATACCTCAAAAAGCTTCCCCACAAGGTGATGATTCTGGATCCAAAGTCTCTCCATCAAGCCAAGCAACTTTAAACTTCTCTTATTTCCTTCCCAAGGGCAAATTGTGCACCAAAAACCTTCTAAGAGCTCAAGAACACCACCAAGAGGTTACAAGGTCGATTTAGGGTTTTTAGGGTATGGAGGCTGGCTTAGAAATGAACCAAAGGGACTAACATTAAGCTTATATAGGGTACATCCATAAAAATTAGGGTTTCAAACCAACCCTCGTATGCCCAGCGTACGAGGTCTCGCATCCCGATCCCAGCTTCGCACTACGCTACGCGCACTCCTCATTACGCATGACGTAACTCATTTCGCATTAGTACGCCCCGCGTACTCGCATGGTACGCCCTACATACCAGGTTTTTCCCCTAACCCTAATTCATTCTGAAGGCCATAACTTTCTCAATACAACTCTGGTTCTGACAATCTTTATATCCATGAAGAGGTATCGAGAAGCTCAACACTATTATCAACTCATACTTGACTTAAAGTTTCCGAACATAAAATCCAAATTCCATAAAGGCCCGCTGCCAAATTACCCAAAATGCCCCCTTGGCACCAAAACCAATTTCGAATGCCCGTACCATCTACATTTCATCACCCACACCCAAATGAGTAACGATTCGAAACAGGGCGTTACATAGGGTTTCATCACAATTATGAAAAATCTTGCCAAAAATCCAAATCTAATGTATTAAAGATGATTATTCTTACCTTGATTCACTAAATTGAAGTTTAAATCAAGTTACCCTTCAAAAATCAACCCCCAGGGCTTAAGTATGTGTTTTTTGCACTTGGGGGCATGTTTGGGTGTTTAGGTTCGGAATAGAACGTTCACAGATCTTATTTTTTATGTTCTGATCATGCTCACGTCGTGAGCCTATCTTGCTCAGGTCGTGAGATGTGGCAATTAGCAAAGTACATTGCTGATATCATTCCAGCATTAGGCATTTTTATCCCATCTTCAAACGCTCACATATCCTTCGTTTCTTATCCGTTTTTGATGATCTTTATATCCACGCGAAGGTGGAAACATGCTCTACATGTTTGTTAAGTCATATGTCACTAAATTAATTCAGATCCCAATCTATTAGGTCAAGAAGTTAGCCTAAAAAGCATAAAAATACCAATTTTACCATTTTGGCCAAAAATGCATTTCTCATGCATTATTTCTCTAGAACTCAATCCATCTAACCTCTTATAGTGGTTTAAACTTGTCTTGGCCATTATCATGAAGTTACAACTTCATATTCTCATCTTTTTTTTATCATAAATGACAAAATTTCCCTTTTTTGTCAATATTGTCTAAAATTACATCTTTCTAAATTTTGGGTTGTTACAAAGGGGAAAGGAGGCGGACGTGTGTGAGTTTTCTCTTCACCTAAGTTGAAGCATGGGTACCATATTTCTTTAAAAGGGGATGAGAGCGGTGGTGACGGAGGAGACCGGGTATAAGGAGGGAGGAGACACAATGAAGAAGAAAGGGGGAAAGAGAGAAGTGAAGGGTATAGTCAGACCAATTTATGGGCGGGGAATTTGGATTACTGTTTTTTTAAATGATTAAAAAATATCATAAAATTAAAAAAGAAATGCATAAGGGCATAATAGTCTTTCTACATCAATCAGATGCAACAAAATCAAACTACAGGGATGATCCGAGTTAAAAAAATAAGTTTAAGACCAAATACATAAATTGCCCTAAACAATAGGGACCATGCGTCTAATTTACTCTAAAATAAATTAAAAAGTCAAAACTAGTAACTTGATTATTATTTGAGTTTAATTTTATAAAAAAAATTGTATTATGTTAATATGTAGAAGTTGTCTTTTTGAGAAAGTAATTTTATATAGTATTATTATGTTTCTTAAAATAAGAACACAAAATGTAAAATAAGAACACAAAATATAGTATAGAGATGAAAAAATAAAGAAAGATATTGAAACTTTAATAAAAGTGAGAGGGGAAGAACTACAAATTCATATTAGAACTAGTTTTGATTGACGCCACGTTTGTATTCGTTCATTTAGAATCTCTTTCGTTGCCCTTTGTAGAAAGCTTTAGGAATATTTTCGTCCAAATAACACAACCTTTTCTTCTAACCACACACGTAATTTCCATAAAAAGAAACGAAAGCCACGTGGCCAGGTACCCCTCCATGTACTACCATCACTCTCACACCCTCGGCCACTCACTGTAACCACCATAACCACCATAACCGCCACCTATTCATTTCTCCTCCTCTCGTTTTCTTCGCTATTACAAATTAAACACCACCATTCCCCTCCACCAACCCCGGTGGAGACGCTCTGCACTGCATTTTTCCATTTTTATTTCATTTCCCTTGAACATTATGACCAACCATAACAACAACCACAACCCTAACAACAATAAAATCATCCACCACCGCCTCCTCCCCTCACCCACCACAACCACCACCACCACCACCACCACCCGTTCTAACTCCACCATCCAAGCCTGCGCCGCCTGCCGTTACCAACGCCGGAAATGTGCCCCTGACTGCATTCTCGCTCCTTACTTCCCTCATGATCGGCAACGTCAATTCCAAAACGCTCATAAACTCTTCGGTGTAAGCAACATCACGAAGATTATTCGTCACCTGGATCAACCACAGAAAGACGAAGCCATGCGCACGGTTATCTACCAATCCGACGTTCGTGCTCAAGACCCTGTGGGTGGATGCTACCGAATCATCCGGGAACTCCATCGTCAAATCGAGATCTCACGAACCGAGCTTGAAATCGTTCTTCAACAGCTCGCATATTTTCGGACACTTGCTGTGCAGAATCACACACAAACCCAACCACAATTTAATCATGATCAGATCCTTATTGATGAGGTCGATTGCGATATTCATCTCGTTAACAATCCAGACGTCGACGCACAGTTGTGCGATGAGTCTCATTCTTCCGTCGATCGTCTTCATCGTCGAAATAGTTTAGATCTTGACCTAGGCAACATACCTCTACAACAACATGAACAAAAAGATCACGATCAATTTGGTTCAGGGAAACAGGATACTACTGGTTGGGGAGATGATAATGTGGTGGTGCCGGTCCAATCATGGGCCGCCGTAGATGATTCGCCACCGTCGTCTGGCAATTGCTTCGATGTCAAGCCTCAACCGTTTCAGACCTTACATGCTTCAGTATGTGATGATTTCAAATCGCTTCTGCTCAATGATATACCACATGAAGAAAAATTCCAATTCAAAGAGACAAACGAACCAAGGTTTGAATGAATTCCTTTCAATGCTTAATTTATATTAATAAATTAAATTGTCAAAAAGATTCTATCTTTTATTCACCATTTTAAGTTGCAACAACTCTGACATCTTTGTAACAAACTATCATTTTTTAAACTATTTATATAAATTAAACCGTTTTGATGCAATACATTTATTAATTTGTTTTTCATTTTTATCAGATTTACACAAAAGGACATAAATTAATGGTTAATTGTTGCATAGATTGGTAAAAACAATGAAGATATATTACACTTTTTGTATTTCCCTCTTATTAAAAGTAGATATGGTGCTCTCTTCCTAGCTTGAAGAATTTGTTACATTTTTTTGTTTCCTTTCAGTGATGAGAGTTTATTCAACGAAGAAAATCACAAAGCTTTAATTAAAGAAGAGAATGTTTCTTATCAATACCACAATGAAGATCATGAGGTTACACTCAAAGATTGTAAAGCTACTCATATTGAGGGAGAATAAATTTAGATAAAAGTATGACCATTTGAGAACCAATTCTTTAATTCTTGTACCCGTGCGATGCAACGGCGACAATTACAAAGGGATGAATAGTTTTTTCAATGATTAGTTTCTCTTTGGTGGTTGCTTTAAATAATTTCTTTCCGGAAGCATGTTATGTTAAAATATGCAATGTGTTGACAAATACCACTTACCATTAATCGACATGTACAAATTATTATAACAGGCAACCATGAAGTGTTTCTTTTTGGTAATTAATTCGTTTTGAGAAAAATCATAAGTATTGTTATGATTGTTATGTAAAGGAAATGTTATAAATTTGCTAATATGGGTAAAAATGAAAGTGTGTAGCTATATTGGATAAAAAATGGAAGATATTTGTTACTAAAAAAATATGAATTTCATATTAGTTTGTTGGACAATTATGACGGTCAGTTTTGTGTTTATTGGAATTTCGTTTAAGATAATATGATACTAATAGTCATGATATGCGGAGACGGTTATAATTTCCATTTGGATTATTTTTTCTTTGGGCAATTAGTTTTTCTTTCAAAGAATGCAATAAGATTTGTTTACTTTCGTAAATACCATGTAATATAATATGTTTATATATATATATATATATACTCTTGAAGGAATATAAGTTTAGGTACCCAATATTTAATATTATGTCGTTTTAACAAGCAAATAACCATCACAAGCTTTTTGACTTTGCCTCTCCGTCGCCGTGCGTCTGGTCGTCCTCTTTCCTCTATTAAAAATCGATTTTCTCCTTTCCACACCTTTATGACAATTTCCTGAAAACCCAATCTTGGGGGGTGTTTTGTAAAGTCCCAAAAATAAGACCTAAAAATTTCTTTTTTAATTTAATAAAACGATAATTCAAAACATTGTCATACAACCAAGATAGACCAAAGTATTGATGAGTTTTGAGCATAACTACAACATATGAGATCATGCAACCCTAATTGCTTTGAATCTAAGTTTTTCACTAGTTGAACATGCAAATTGAATACCAAAGGAAAACCCTAAGAAACAAGCATATATAATTTCGAAAATGACACAATAAAAGGGTTTTGATGTTTACCTTACTTGTTATGTAGTAATAACAAGAAACCTTGTAGATCCTTGACTCTTGAAAGCTTAGTCACTACTAGAAAAACAGCCTTTTACGACGCGCAATCAATGACACGCGCTGATAGAGAACACGCATTTGTGCGTGCCCTAAAAATTGATGTAAGTTTTCCAAAATATGAAGCATAGAGGGCACGCATTTTTGCGTGCCCTAAAATTAGTGTCTAATAAAAAAAACACGGAGGACACCTTAAATAAAATGTGTGTCTTCTAACCATGTCACTTTATAAATTTTAATGAAACGCGCGCTTCATCCAAGGGGGAAATGAAATCCAAAAATTAAAAAGTCCGCTTTGTTTCCACCGGCTGAAAACCCTAGCTCATCCCCGCCGTAAATAGACGACGCGCAAAAGCGCGTCGTCTCTCGTTATGACAAGGCCTTCCTTGACATGCATTTGCGCGTCGTCTGAGCGTTTTACGACACACATTGCGCGTCGTAAAAGGCTATTTTTCTAGTAGTTAGTGTCTCAAATGTTGCATCTCTAATGGCTCACAAACACTCTTTGCAAGAGGATGAGAGGAGAGAGGAGGGAATACTCTTAGAAATCGGCTCCACTAGGGTTCTTAGGCATATGACCGAAAATCTAAGGGGTTAGATCCCTTTTATGCATGAGGTAGCTTAGTCCCAAAGCTAGGGTTTGCAGGTGGAAACCCTAATTCCCTGCTTAAGGCCTAAGCAGCCCATGGACTCCTCATTAGAAGGCCTTGGACGAAAATCTTAGAGGGCCACCCTATAATTTTCGTCCACTCCTATCTAAGGAATTCAAGAGGCAAGTTTCATAACTATCAATTATTTGCAAAACAGCCCCTATACTTTTAATTAATTCCTTTAATCCCAAAAATTAATTCCAAATTAATTTTTGATTAAATATTAATTAAACAACATGATTTCCAATTAATATATTATTTTCATAACATATTAATAAATCATTTATATGAATTTATTATTTCAAACAATAAATTCAACTTCTCTCCAAAAGTCATCTTGTCAAGTTGCAAGAGTGAAGGCAACCCAAAAGGACCATGCTACAATAAAATCAAGTACATACCAATTATAGTTATGGGCTTAGACACCTAATCCAACAAGTATGTCACTACATCATATCATATCAGAGTAAATCACAAAATACAGAATAAGGTGGTGTGTGTTTTACAATCATCCTTGGCTCTTCCCTTTCGAACCAGAAGTACCTGAAAGAGAAACTGAAAACCGTAAGCACAAAGCTTAATGAGTTCCCCAAAATACCCCATACCATACATAATAAACACATATTGGGTCCTCGCCCGGCATCGAGTCCCACTCGGCCTCGGGCCTCGCCCGACATCATGCCCCACTCAGTTTACAAATCTGTCAATCACCAGGGCCCGCCTAACATCAGACCCCGCTCGATACACATATAAGCATATAAACACATAATCATACTAACACATGCGATAATCACAAAGATAATAGCAGACAATAGATTCATCGGGCCTCACCCGGCATCGAGCCCCGCTTGATATACATACAAGTGCATACACATGCAAGAGTCACACAGACATATAGGATCCTAACATAATTGTAATACCCTCCTCTGGAACATATCACATTATTGTCTGCTTTGGGCTCCTGGTGCGAAAGCTTCCCAGGGGGTCACCCATCCCTGGATTGTTCTCGCCCAGCCACACTTAACTACAGAGTTCTTATGGGACATGTTGCCCTCACGGCTTTAAAACGCGTTGTGACAGAGAAGCTATCCACACCCTTTTTTAAGGAATGATTAGTTCTCCTTCCCAACCGATGTGGGATTAAGTAAGTACAGCTAACCTGCCCGCCTTCATCCCCCATTATAGGTTTCAACATCCCCGTCAAACACATCGACTCATGCTTGGCTCTGATACCATTTCTCAATTTGTGAGCGTCATCCTTGCGCAGGGGTCATGCTAATCTTCTCTGTATCGTTCCAATTTTATCGGATGAAGGCTGGAAGGTTAGTTGCACCCGATCCACATCGGCTGGGAAGGAGAACGAAACATTTTCTTATAAGGGGTGTGGATACCTTCCCTGACACAACGCGTTTTAAAGCCTTGAGGGCAGCAGATCCCATAAGAACTCTGCAGTTAAGTGTGCCCGGGCGAGAACAATCCAGGGATGAGTGACCCCCTGGGAAGTTTTCGTGTCGGGAACTTAAAGCGGACAATATTGTGATACGTGCCAGAGAGGGATGGTACAAATGGTATTAGGGTTAGGGCATGGGTCGAGTGTTCGACGAGGACGTCCAACCCTATAATGGGGGTGAAGGTGGGTTGCACCTAATCCCATATCGACTTAGAAGGAGAACAAAAATCTTCCTTATAAGGGGTGTTGATACCTTCTTTATCACAACGCGTTTTAAAGCCACGAGGACAATAAATCCCATAAGAACTCTGCAATTAAGCGTGCTCGGGCGAGAGCAATCCAGGGATGGGTGACCCCTGGGAAGTTTTCGCGTGGGAGCCCAAAGAGGACAATATTGTGATACGTGCCAGAGGGGGATGTTACAATAATAAACCATGGGACAGAATTGGTATCTTCAACCCGCTAAACACAACGAGGAAACTCACCTCAGACTGCTGAATCTCACAGATAAATCTCTGGTTGTTGGTCTGACAATCCTTGCGTTATCATCATAAAATAACATCCCATTAATAATTGGATCCTGTCTCACACTAAGAGTCTAAACTAGGGTAAAAGACCATTTTACCCTTTACCTAACTTGGCCTAAGACCAAAGCCCAAGCCAGCTACTAAAAAAGGCGTGATTCCAAAAATGGTCACCCAAGGCCCAAATATAGTCAATTCCTCCAGATTGGGCCCAAAACCCATCATAGGCCTTCAACCAAAGTAATCGAAAGTAATGACATCAACCCAAAATAGAAATCTGATGGCCCAACAAGTCCATAATCCCTTAATGTCCAAATATGGGCCCAAAACCGAGAAGCCCAAATCTGAAGCCCACATGCTGAGTATGCGGGGCATACTAAACTCGTACGCTTAGCATACATGTTCTGGGGCTAGTACGCACATCGTACCAGCTTGTACGCCCAACGTACTCCCCAGTTGGCCACTCCACGTCAATAAGCACTTAATCCATTCAATACTTCATACACTCAGATCTTATCTTAAAAGATGATTTATCACGTAAAGTTGGCAACTTTATATGCACACATGGCTTAATGGGGCTCTAGAGCTCAAAAGAGCTTAACAAAGGGTCTTAACACATGCATGAGTCCATATACACCATAAAGTTTGCATTTTTATGCATAAGGCACCCCTAAAATGTCCAGATCTAAAGGGTTAAGCTTATGAAATTAGCTCACAAGGACCAACCAAAAGGGACCAAAATAGCCATAAACAAGCCAAAAAGTAGATCTATACAAGGAGTTGACAAGTTATGGACTTTATACCTCAAAAGTCACGAAATGATGAAGCTAAATCTGGATCTCTAAGCTCTTCTCCTAAGAATGAGTCTTCAATCTTATTCTACCACTTCAAGATCCACAAAAACACACCAAAATGCTTCATAGGAGCTCAAAAGCACCAAAACAAAGGCTAATGGTGAGGTTAGGCTTTTCAAGATATGGAGGCTGGGTAAACATGACCAAATGAGGCTATCATAAGGTTTATATAGGGTGTAAACCCTAAAATTTAGGTTTTCATTAAAACTCACGTACGCCATGCGTACTCGACGTATGCCCAAGGTACGTGGATGAGCTCCGCGATCATGCATCAAGCTAGTACACTAAGCGTACCACCTAGTACGCCTCGCGTACTAGCTTAAGGACCAATTTTGCAAACTTTTAGAATAGAGAGGTTAAATACATAACTTACCAAATTCAAGTGTTACAATTCTCCCCCACTTGAATCAGACTTCGTCCTCGAAGTTCGCTGCTCCAAATAACTCTGAAAAGTTCTCCCTCATTTCATCTTCCAGCTCCCAAGTCCATTCAGAACCCTTGCGATGCTACCACTGGACTTTCACCAACCCAACAACCTTGTTCCTCAAGGTTTTCGTCTTTCGGTCAAGAATCGTCACCAGTCTCTCAACATAATTCAGGCGGTCATCAACTTGAATA